ACAGTTTTCAGAACGACGAACGCACGATTGACAGGGGTTGTAATAAAGGCGGCCTATGTTTCCTTGCTTGTATGCGACTGACGGAGGAATGTATGGCATGCATGATTAAACGTAAAGAAACGTGATAGAAATATTGAAGATCTGATATCTATCTGAAATTAAATGACAGCTAATAGGTTAAATAACACATGAATAAATAATGGTTTAAATAGTATGGCAGACGTTGGCTTTTGTCTCTAAACTAGGTACCATCCGTTTCATCATTTAGCTAAGTGGTTACAGCATTCGACCCCTCCGTGATACAGCTTGAAATATTGCTGAAAACGACGTTAAACCTTATATAATCAGTCTCTGCATTTGTTGTAATTGATTTATTGGTCATTAAACGCTTTGGGGGCACGGGTGGCCCAGTCGTCTAAGGCGCCGCGATTCGCTGTGCAGAGTTGCGTCCCTTGGTCACGCCAGAAATCTATGATTGTGGGTTCGAATCCCGGTTCGCCCCGATTATGTTTCTAGGTTTGTCAGCACCATACCCGTGCTCGTGGGTTTCACCGAACTGGTAAACGTCTGAAAACGTTAAACACAACTCACTCACTCACTCACTCACTCACTCACTCACTCACTCACCCACTCACTCACTCACTCACTCACTCACTCACTCACTCACTCACTCACTCACTCACTCACTAAACGCTTTATAGGTGTTCGGGCAACTAGGCCCATTTGCACCTTGTCCATAATAAAGGTTTGTTCAGTTCCGAGCAATGTCATAAAGTAGCAACACTGCCACACGCTTTAATATAAGCAAGAATGACAATCTGAACTTCTTCCTAGAACATAAAGGTCCAGCCAATGAGAGGTCAGTATTGAGAACTGTGAGAGACTCCACCATTGCCTTACGTTGAGTTACATATTTTTGGCAATGCAGTTAATAATGAGCTGATTACACACTGTACAATGTGCAGAAATGTCTTTATTGATAATATTGAGATATGTACTAAGACCACAATGCCCAAGACGAAGTCGGGTTAAGAGAACCTCCTCTCTCCGGTTGTTTCTAGATATTTGTAATGTATAAATATAAGGCTCAATGCCATAGAGGTGGCGTCCTTTTAAGGATGATGCCCATCTCTGTTGACATTTTGTTTTAGCATGGAACAAATAGACGGTGCCTAATTCTGCAGGAGAATGTAAAATTGTCTCATCCCGTTCTCACTCACCAAAGTCTAATGCAGCTTTTGCCAATTTATCAGCCTTCTTATTTCCAAGAAGCTCAACATGAAAAGGTATCCATGAAAATTTAACATCTAAAAGATCTTTACTTAATTCATTATAAAGGTCGAGTATAGCGATGACCAAGTCCTGCCTCAGTGTGGAAGAACCTACCCGAATTGCTTGTAAAGCACTGGCAGAATCACTGAAAATGACCGCTGATACAAGCCCTAAAAAATAAATAAAACGCAATGCTTCAACGATTGCTTCAAGTTCAGCAGAAATATACTGACAAGTGATCAGCCAATCGTATAGAAATGTCTCCATGTTCATTAACAATGAAGATACCAGCACCAACATGAACGGACACTGGGCACTTAGATCCATCAGTATAAATCTGCATGGCAGTTATCCACTGTAAACTTCGGATATGTCCCTCGGCTATGGCTTTAACACGAGGTGCTGGCTCAGATTTATTGACTTGTTCCAGTACATCATGATAAACTGCTGGAACTTCAAGCAACCATGGTGGCTTTTCGGGCAGAACAGTAGTATCATCTATGTCAACGTCACGTCACATACAATATAATGGAAAGCAGTTCTCTGAGAACGCATCCCATAAGGCCCCATACCATCTTTTAAAGAGTCTTAAAAATACTCAACACAATCATTTAACACAGTTGACGTAGTGTGTTTTCCCCAAAAATATTTCAATTTTAACATATTTCTAACTTCTAACAGTTCCCGTCTGAGATCGAAAGGCATTCACCCGAATCAACTTGTAAAGTCTCAACAGAGGTATAATCTAATCTTGCTTTTGTGTGGCACATGCAGATCCATAGGCTAGACAACCGAACTCAAGTCGAAATCAAATGAGGGCTATATATGAAATTAATAAACACTTCCTGTCTGCATCCCATTTGGTACTGGAATGGTTCAGGACTTAAGTGCAGTTCTGAATCAGATAGACTATGTTTGGTTTCCAGGTAAGCCCTTTATCAAACCAGCGACCTAAAAACTTTATCTACAAACTCCAAATGAGAACCACACAAGACTAATTTTGAATTATGAAGAATCTTCTTCCGAGTAAATTTGATTGCAGATGAAATCTTCAAACCCCAATGTACACACCAATTATGTAAAAGATAGAGAGATTGTGGATGCTTTTGAAGACAGTGTCAAAATTACTGGACCGTTTCCACAAGGTTTCATCATCTTCAAAACGTGATGTTTCGACCAGTATCTTGAATTATTGATATTCTCCAACAAATAATTTATCATTACATTAAATAAGGTTGGGCTAAGAAATTGCCAAACCTTCCCTCCACAACATGTCAAAGACTTTTTCAACGTCCATGAAAACAGCCATTAAATATTCAGTGCTACCTAGTGCCTTTTAATGTCGGTTTCAAGTCGCACTAAATGATCAGCACAAGATCTATTTTTCCGAAAGTCTGATTGAACGCCTGAAAAGAGAATGTTCTTTTCCATGAAGTAAACCAGACGATTGTTTACCATTCTCTCCACTATTGTACACATGTTAGAGGTAAGAGCAATAGGTCTGTAGAATGTGGATTCAGTAGGATGTTTACCAGGCTTTGGAAGTGGAACTCCTGTTGTGTTTTTCGAAGAAATAGGAAGTTTGCCTTCAAACCAAATATCATTAAAAAGCGATCTCGCGTTCTCGGGTTCTCGCGTTTTAGACGCTGTCCGTGCGCATGCGTAATATCATAATATAGTAGTTCTTTGGTCATGCTTCTTTCATGCTCTTCATTCTCCAAGTAGCATTTAGCAAACTTATGACTTGAGCTTGAAAATGCTATGTAATTTACATACACAAAGTCTGAGTCTGTGTACTTTATAATAAAACCCTCAACATGCTCAATATAATTTAACAAAAGAAATTGTGTACATGAATGTCCAATGATAGTGAAAACAGTAATGTGTCCGAAAGCTGGAAACAAAACGATTACCGTCAGTGAGTGAGTGAGTAATATTGCTTAAAGCCGCATCAGCAGTACTACAGTTACAGAAATAATCACAGGCCAGTGAGTTTCTCCATGAGGCAATTTTATACACGGCTAGCATATTCATGAAAGGCAAAATTCTCATAGACCAATCGTTTCCAAAGGTCGAGATCGCGAGAATGCGAGATCGCGAGCATGTCCCTTACAGTATTCCATACCAGAGTGTGTACGACGTTTATTGCCAGGTCACCAACTAACCACTAACACCAGCCTGGGACCCTGGTGGATCAGTGTCAGCGACAAGATAGTTTTTCCGTCATTGCTTTTATCTGATGGTTTTTTTTACCATGTCAGATAAACAGGTCCTTTGTGTGAAAACTAAAGCAATTATTTTTTCAAGTATTTTCTGGAACAGTTATATTCAAAACAGTCTTTCGTGCCACAAGCTTATTGATTTTTTTCTCTCTCCCCAGCCACCCGTAAAGATCCGGGTTAGAATAGGTCTTCAGCAACCAATGCTTACCGTAAAAGGCGGCTATGCTTGTCAAAAGAGGCGACTAACGGGATCGGGTGGTCAGGCTCGCTGACTTGGTTGATGCATGTCATCGTATCTCAATTGCGCGGATCGATGCTCATAATGTCAGTCATTACATTGTCTTGTCCAGACTAGATTATTTACAGACTGCCGTCATATAGGTAGAATATTGCTGTGTGTGGCGTGAAACAAGCAAACAAACAAGCAATGCATGTCCTGCTTGACTGTATTGATTTTTCCATCACAAGGGATCAATATTTCAAGGTTTAATCCATAAAGAATCTTTTACAATTCTTGGACTTTTTACAAGAAATTGAATTGATTCATAAATTTTGATGTACATAGTTGTTTCTTATAAAATGGTAGTATATATTTTTTGATTTATCTACCATTGTCTTAAACGTAGAATATTCATTATCTTAAAATTTGGCTAAAATTGCATACAATCTCCAGCGGCTGAAGGGTTGGTGTAAATCCTGCTAGGGAACCGCACAGGTAGCAGATGCATCGTAAGTTCCCACGGTCGCTTGTATGGTGACTTATCTTTGGCTGCTTGTGATCTTTAGCACGTTCTTATAGTGTATTGTTATGTAAAGTGATGTACTTTTATGGTTCCATGCTAGTCTTAAATCTCAATCTGTGATAAGTCCACTCAGTCCCGAGATCGTTTCCCCACATGGGTACAGTGGGTGTGAGTGAGTGAGTTGGGTTTAACACCGCTTTTAACAGTATTCCAGTTATATCACCCTGTCAGCTAAATGTGGGAGGAAAGCCCGAAGTGATGCAGGTCTCAGACGTTTACCACTTTGGTGAAATCCACGAGCACTGGTATGGTGCTGACAAACCTAGAAACATAATCGGGGGAACCGGGATTCGAACCCACAATCATAGGTTTCTGGCGTGCCCAAGGGATGCAACTCTGCACAGCAAATCGCGTTGCCTTAGATGACTGGGCCACATGTGCCCCGAATGTGTGATAGGGTAGTTGCATCATTATGTAGGTCTGTATAAACTAGAGTAACCATAGTTCTAATGCTACGTCTATGCAAAACGATATAGCCTACGCACTGTTGAGTAGGTCAGTGGAGTGGGTAGGCCCGTGGAAGTGGTAATCCAAATGTTTCTTTTAAACTGACGACCGATCTGAAATAAAGGAATGTTCACTGAAATTCCACCTACAGTCACATTAAAGTGACTACCTTCTGTAAGACTTGTGTTGTGGTAGTGAGGGGACTGATTATTAACGCTGTGACATTCCTCCTGGGGGGAATAATTATACAAGCAAGATAGGTTACAAAGATACTTTTATTTACAATCATAAGAAAACAAACAGAAACATCTAACAATTTACAGGTGTGTTGTACACACAAATGCCTAATAAATATCTCAATATATATACAGATCTAACATAGTCAAGATAATTTGAAGTAAAACAGAGAGCTGGGTTCAGTATTTGGTCATTAGAGCATCTACAACCATTGAATACAGGACGGAAAATATGCATTGTTAAAAATAGCGCAACAATTATGACAAATGTGATATATTTACAATCAGATTCTTCAAATAGTGTATTTTTTCTTTTTCCATTGGAACCTTTCATAGACAATAACAATTGTTATGATGGTTTTGTTAGGTAAGCTTTACATATTTTACCCATGAAAAGTGCAATAAATAATTTCTTTAACAAGTTGTTGAATTATGTTTTCTTCTGTGATAGGAACAGATTCTCAGTTGCTAAATATTGGCAACCCATGACTAAAAGATTATTTGCTATGGATTTCACTTTTGCCATTATTTGATACCACACATTTAATGACTTTTAACATTAGAAGCAGACTCATCCTGACTCCTTAATATTATTTCAGTTCAGTCATATACACGTCCAATCTGACATTTCACAAACTAGACGCATCTAAACGAATGTCCATCAACAATGATCTCTTACAAAGGCTAGCAGGGTCTCATTTGTAAACATAAGTAATATATCTGTATCAAACATCAGTATGAGTGAGTGTGTTTGATTTTACGCCGCATTTAGCAATATTCCAGCAATATCATGACGGGGAACACCAGAAATGCGCTTCACACATTGTACCCATGTCGGGAATCGAACCCGGGTCTTCGGCGTGACGAGCGAACGCTTTAACCACTAGGCTACCTGACCGCCACCAAACATCAGTATGAATTCTACACATTATATTGATTCTAAGAAGATGTTTTCCATTAAATGAGCAGCTGAAATCTGTGGATTTGTCCAATCAGGTGTATTTCCTAGTCATATATCATTATGAATTACAATCAAGAAACAGTTATAATTCAAAGTTGTTTTTCCCTCTGGGTAGACAAATATTATAATTCCCTGCATGTCATAGCGGCATTGAATCTCACAAATTTTATTTTTTTAACATATTTAATAAACAATATCTCCCTGAGCACCAAATTTCCAAATTGTTTCATGAAAATCACATGATAATTATTAATGTCTTAACAAAATAAAATCGTCTTCTCAGTAAAATCCCGTCTTTAACATTCATGACACTACTCCTGATTTTCTCAAGTTTGCCAAGAGCTTGTGATTGTTCCCAAAATATCTCCTCTGGAGTCCACATCAATCCCATTAATACAAACACAAATAAGATTGGTCCTTAGTTCCCTCATCGTTTCATGAAACAGGATATGAGACAAATCTGAATTGGTTGGCTAATACATTTTCTGTCAGCATTACATGACAATACAAATAGTTTTGTCATTCATTATAAACTTGAGAATGATCTATATGACAACATACAAAGGGATGTTTTTTTCATATCTTGACTCCTCAATCAATAGTCATCACATTTGTGCTGTAACAAAAGCACAGATGAGATTGGTGCTCACTCTGGAATTGATTGTGACACCATCTCAGCCATTGACTTGAAGCCATTACCAAGTTCCTGTTGAATAAGGGACTGGTCATTTATTATAGGGGGTGGTGGGCCAGTGAGAATGAAAAGGGCGGTGGGGTTGGGGGGTGAAGGTTGGGGGGGTTTGCTCATGAAAAATGACACAGTGAAAGGGGGGTGGGTGGGGAGGAGGAATGACACAGTCCTACCTTTTCAAATAGTAAAAGTAGAAATTTGAGCCACGGACTGTTAATTTATTATTGGGTGGGTGGGTTTCATGGAAAAATTTTACCTGTATATTTTTTGGGGTGGGTGGGAGTGTGTGTGTGTGGGGGGGGAAGGGGGGGAGTTTGACTCAATGTTACATAAAATGGGGGAAGAGGGGTTGTGTGATATGATACAGTCCTAAGACCAATCCCAATCCCCAAATCTTCTTGATTAATGAAAAGAAATCTGACAGGCCCAACTTGCTCCATGGTCTGGAGACTATTATCAGTCTAGAACTCTTAAGTTGTATTTATTTGCTTACGTCAAACAATTAATAGTAATAAATAAGATTGATTATTCATGTAAGCAGTAACATCATTTTCATCTATCATAAAATTTGAGTTTGAAGATAATCAAAGTTGGTATGTTGACTTGCCTAAAACATGATAGGACTGCAAATTGACCTAGTTCCCTTTAATGCCTGTACTTTTTACACTGTCTTCACTTCAGTTCACTGTTGTGAGGAAATGATAATATTGTCCTCCATTGTGAACTGGGCAGAGGATTTAGATAAATCTGTAAGAACATGAGTTCTCCATGTGGGGAGTTCTTGTGACCTAGACAACATGGTGCTGTACTCTATGCATAGCTGTCCGCCCCTCCTCCAAACTCAACTGGGTTGTAGTCGTTGTCCTGAAACCAAACACATCAGAGTTATGAACCACATTGGTCAATATGTAAATATGTTCAGTGAGTGGTTGAAAGCTGTGTAACCCCACAGTCAGGATTATATTCCAGCCATATCACGTCAGCTTGTATATACCTGAATCAATACCTGAATCCTGGAAACACACACCAGTGGCTGACAGCACCAGCAGATGTCGACGCCACAGGGACACACACCCCAGTGGCTGACAGCACCAGCAGATGTCCACGCCACAGGGACACACACCCCAGTGGCTGACAGCACCAGCAGATGTCCACGCCACAGGGACACACTGATTTACTATCAACCAGGTCACACAACGTGGCCACCCAATCCTCATATTAAGGGTTGTAAAACAACAGGCATGAGGTGCTGAGTTGTTTTCACCTGCTGTGGTAACTGTATCTCGGTGCTGCTCCCCTTAACAATTTTGGTTGGTTTGGTTTGTTGTTTAATGCCGCACTAAGCAATATTCCAGGTATATGACGGTGGTCTGTAAATAACCGAGTCTGGACCAGACAGTCCAGTGACTGTAACGATTTTGATTTGATTTGTAGCTTCACCATGTACACAGAGCTACGGGCTGTAAGATAGTGCTGTTTTCCTGATAGATTCCCAATTCGGAACCACCCATAACGTACATGAATATTGGGTGGGAATCAACAAGAGAGTTTTGCTAAGCACAATGGCGTATAAAAAAGCTTTCCAGTCCCGTTTCCAACTCTTTAAGTAAATATATTGTTGCATGATCTAAAATATGAGTACATGTAGTCGTACTGCTAGTCATGTCTCATGAAGCGGAGCATGCTGCATTTGTCATCAGGTCATGACGCATGCACTTTGCTGAAGCATAATAAGTGTGATGCAGATTTGAATCGGGGATCTCTTAGGAAAACACTGTGGGATAGCCTCACGGTCTGTGTACCTAAATCAAAGGAGCAGCACAGAGATGCGGTTACGGCGGCTACGTTCTTACCCAGAAGTCCCCAGGGGGACTTGGATACAGATAAAGACTATGGCCTTTGTTGGAAGCAATCCGCTGCAGCTACAGGCCAGTGAAATGTCTACATGTTGTTAATTAGACTAGAAATTTAGTTGTTTTCTCAGTAAACATCATCCAGAATATCACATAATATTTGTAAGATGATGAAATATGACAGTGTCACGTACAATAGCATTGTATAGGGAGTTGCAGATCTACATGTGTCACACCAAGTGATCTAACACCTACCTGATTGAGTTTCTTGAACTCTACCACCTGAGCAAAGACATATTCAATGATGTGTTTCGCATCTCTGATGTCCGCAGGGAGTTTGCTGGTGACGGCCAGAATGTCCCCACACTCTCGTACATAGTACTCCAGATCATCGTCAGTACCTGAACAAACACACATAACAAGGTTCTAGCACGGACAACATTTGAATGTTCAAGGTTCCCTAACTGTAGTGATGGTGAGTTGGGCAGGTCTCTCTGAAGTGGTTAAACAATCCTAGTTATTTATGTAAATTCGGAGGAACTGGGAAATTTGTAATTCACATTGGGAAGCGTTTAGTGTTATTGTGATATCACTATAATACCATTCAAAGCGGCGTTAAACCCAACTCCCTCTCTTACTCTCTGCGTCCTATCAGTTGATCAGTACACATGCTCTTAAAATTCATCCACAATACAAAGCCTGTTAATGTATCTCCTTGACGTTGAGTACCATACTTGCAAAACTAAGGCTATGCACTTTATTGAATTCTCACAGATTCATCAGTTTTCAGATGGGGTGAATCCTGTATTCAGCAACCCACAACTTCAGTGTGCCCAACTTCTTGAATAAACAGGGCCAGGGTTGTAGATGACAACAGTTTGTCCAGGTAGTTCCGAGTCTAAGCTTGGACTGGGAAACACTTACACTTGTTGGTGATCTGAGCAATGCGGACTTTCTCGGACGAGAACTGTTCATCCAGATCAAACAGCTCCAGTGCAGGGGGATTCAGCTCCTTGAAGTTCGGGGGAAACACCTGACAAGTACAGAAGCAGACGTAGATACATGCGGAGGAGAGGCTGACGTCAGACTCGGAACACCATGCTTTATCCATGTGTACATTTCCTGTACAAGGAAGGGAAGAGAGCAAATGTCCTTCAGGAACCTGTAGTACTGTTTTAGGACACTTAAGTTTGTTCAGAATTGTAAATAACATAATAAGCTGATAGAAGGTTTTTGTTTAATGTGTAGAAAATGTGTAGGTCTGCTTATCTTTTCTTGAAATGAAATGAACAACCTAAATGAAAGATCATAACATTGCTAACCTAACTAAACATGCTAAAGGGTCTGATAAGTCAAACAACAGACCAGGATGTAAAATATTTGGGACCCTTGAAGATCCGGGGTAGAAAAGGTCTTCAGCAATCCATGCTTGCCGTAAGAGACAACTAACAGGATCGGGTGGTCATGCTCGCTTTTGATTGATGCATGTCATTGCATCCCAATTGCGTGAATCGATGCTCATGATGTCAATCACTGAAATGTCTGGTCCAGACTTGATTATTTACAGACCATTATCATATAGCTGGGATTTTGCTGAGTGTGGCAGTAAACAAACAAAACAAACAAACAAACAAACAAAAGAAGCACAATGATTACTGCAGTCTATGCCAACACCATTGAGTCAACTAGCCTGGACCTGTCTCCTGACATCATTTTCAGTAGATCTTGGTGTTAATGTATGAACTTCTATTAGCAAAGCTAACTGGACAAAAAGAAATGTTACTAGACTCAGGCTATGGACTTGTGGCTAAAGTCACAGACTGATAACGCTGACAGCTTACTTAATCTAAATGAGATGCATGAGACTTGTCATTTTTCTCTGCAACCAGAAATATTTCAGCCATATCCTAGCAGCCTGTAAATAATAGATTCTGGGCTAGACAAACAAGTGGTTGACAGCATGATGAACATCCCACGTTATCAGGTTGCGTGACACACAATGAGGTCACATAACACGACCACCCAATCCCAGTTCAGTCGGTTCTTCCAAGCATGAGGTACTGGCTGTAACTATGTACAAGTCCACAAGGGTTCCAGGTTGGGATTTGTCCCAAGCAGCCCATGGTTGTCGTGTCAGGCAACATTAAGGATTGTGTTGTCAGGCTCGGTGACTTGGTTCATAGCTTGTCATCGTACCCTAACAGCAATGGTATTTGCTCATAATATTAGAGTATTGTATGGTCCAGACTTGATTATTTACAGGCCACCATCGTATGGCTGGAATTGATAGGTGCAGCATTTAGAGGTGTAACAATACAATGAGTGGTGATATGATACGTATCCCGTTACTATGGTAGGATATGATACGTATCCCGTTACTATGGTAGGATATGATACGTATCCCGTTACTATGGTAGGATATGATACGTATCCCGGTACTATGGTGGGATACAATTCGTATCCCATTACAATATTTTTATTTTCATAAGCTGATATTCTTTCTTTTTGCAGGTGAGTCACAATTCTGAATCAATTGTTCTTAAATTTCAGAAATCGTAGAGTAGAAACATATAGGCTAGAGGCAACTGTGCATGTTAAGCTATACATAGCCAAGTGGGAAATACTAGAGTTAGGTGGTTGTTGGAACGGTTTCTGTTATTATTCTAACACCAACATAACTTGTAATGTATCGTAGGTATCGCAATATAGGGGTTGTAAATATCAGGCCTCCTATCAGGATACAATACTGTATCGCCGGATCATTACACCACTAACGGCTTGAAACAACAAACAAACTGTAACTACATACAGCTGGCTGTAGAGGCGGTAGAGGTGTCTCGAACTGAGGTGTGATGAGCGTCAGTGACTCGTGTTTACATCCAAGCTGTTCATATCCTCTGAAACACAACAAACAACTTCAGTGAGTTAGGTCCCCACTACAAACTACCATATCTACAAGTGAGTACCTATATTCAGGAGTCACTTCAACACTGGGAGAGGGCGGTCGGGTAGCCTAGTGGTTAAAGCGCTCGCTCGTCACGCCGAACACCCGGATTCGATTCACTACATGGGTACAATGTGTGAAGCTCATTTCTGATGTCCCCCGCCGTGATATTGCTGGAATATTGCTAAAGTTGCATAAAACCAAACTCACTCAACATTGGGATAACTTGGTGACAGGACCACAAGTCTAACACTGTCTATTAAAGAAGACGAACACCTCAGTGAAATCAAAGCAACATTTGAAGGTGTTGTAAACAATGTCATCAAGTACCTTACCAACATTTTTAATGGACGAACTACTACCAACTGTAAACAATGTCTGCAGAAATGAATATCCAGATATGTGAGTTACCATGGTAACTATCACTGAAACATGAACTCGATACCACTACAAAATGGAAACTAATGAACAGATTAACGTGTACAGCAGTAAGACGAATCCTTCTACCAATCAAGACACCACAATCTTTCTATCCCCAACGATCAGAGATTCTCTACATTCAAAGCACCAGGCTCTAGCCTAACAAAATATGGTCAAACCACTTAAAAATTCATTATTTTTAACAGAAATTGGCCAGTACATTTGCTGAAGATGGGTTCAGCCATGCTGTACATTATTACCAGGTGTTTAGTTTCCTGTATAGATGATGTGGAACATGTTACAAGCTACAGTAGTGACTCTCCACTTATACATATAACACCACTGTCACCAGATAATGCTTACTTGATTGCTTTAGGTACGAGACTAGTATCAAGTTTGAAGAGAGAGTTATCAAACAGTGTTGTGATGTCGCGGGGGATGTCGTCACTCTCCTGGAGACACGTCTTCAGTTCCTCTGCCAACTTCGCAACTTCTGGGAGCTGGTTGTAGTCACTGATCTGCACACACAACACGGCAGTGTTAACTCACACTTGTATTACCCCTCATGTCCGGACTCCATCAGTGTTCCAAACTAAAGGGAGTGCAGGGTGCCGTTGCACAAAACAACCTTAGTGCTATGACTGTCGTAGGTCTATGTTAAGGTATGGGAGTCACGATCACCTTAGCGTTAAGATCGCTTTGTACAACGGCACCTTGGTGTCCTTCAGGTCTTCAATGGTACTGGAACCTTGGGCCCTCCTTGATCTTTGACTTTTAACATTAGGGCTACGACAAGCACCTCTCGACTTTCATGCTTAATTTGGAACACTTCTACACGATTGATGCTTAGCATGTATAACTGCAACTTCCATTGTTTGATAGGCATTACTTAGAAGTTGACGGATGACAAAGTAGACACAATTTATGGATGACAACTTCTTAAAATAGTGTTAAGGTGATGTTTCGATATAGATCCTTATATCGTTGTCAAGTAACTTGTTACTGCAACTTGTATGTCACAAATAGCATTTATCCTAAACCGGTGGAAAGTTTTATATATGACAGACTCTCTCTCTCTGAGGGTGGAAAACTATATAAATAACAATTGAGAAAATCTCTCTCTCTCTCTCTCTGTTCTCTCTCTCTCTCTGTTCTCTCTCCCTGTTCAGACCAGTTAACGAATGTTCCTAAGCATTATAATCAGTGTCTGTCGGTGTGTCTCGTTACCTCAGGGTCCTCAGCATCAATAGCATTCAGTTTGATGTCCTCAGTTGTGAGGTACTGCACGAGGACATCCTGAAACATTATATCATCATTAACACCCAACATCATGGTTAACATCACTGTCAACAGTCAAGTGACAGTTTAAGGGTTTCTCCCAGACCTGATCCAGATTTGAATATATACATAGTGTTAAAGGCCGGAAAAGCCAGAGTGTTCATGTGTGTCAGCTGAGGTCAACAGAGGTGTTAGGATAGTGTTTCATGACATTACAGTAATTAGATTAAACACATTTGGAAGTGTTAACTTGGAAAATGCCTGATGGTTGAGTTATATATAGTTTCCTGTCTCTGATATACAAATTACTATGGTTTCATGAACTTTCAATGACTTTATTGCAATTTTCTATTTTCAAAAAATATTTCAGTCCTTAGAAACTCAAACTACCACTCCATGACCGTCAAATACTTACAAAACCTGCCCAACCTTCTCATTAGAGTTTACTTATCATGCTTATGATAAAGTTAAATACAGTCAATCAATACTATGTTAGTCTACTGGTCCTAAAGTTCAACTGATGTGGCATTACATGGAGCACCAATGTGGATTAAGTGGTATGTGCTGTGCATGCAATTTTCCAAAATGCTCACCAGAATTTTACTGTTTTCCTCTTTGTCTATATACTGGTCATGGAACATGTGGACAGACCCAAGTACTGCCATCTTTCCTCGTGTTTGCTGGAAAACAGTGAATCCACATAAAATACATAGCACTACGAGATGATGTACCCATGTTGAGAATCAAGACCCCCACACCCAAACCTACATCGACAGACACCCACAGCCACACACACCCGCACCCAAACACAGATACCCCCGCACCCAAACACAGATACCCCCACACACACACCCAAACCAACAACGACAGGCACACCCCCACCCCCATACACATACACAGACACCCAAATACCCACCCACAGACACGCACACACACAGATACCCCACACACACACACCCAAACCAACACCGACAGACCCCCCCCCCCCCCCACCCCACCCCACCCCCTCACACACATACATACACAGACAGCCCCCATACACAGACACCCAAATACCCGTCCACAGACACGCACACCCACAGACATGCATCCACCCACACTTACACACACAACACACACACACACACCCAAAGCACACAACCACCCAGACATGCACACACACAGATATCCCCCATACATAGACACCCACAGACACATACACATACAAAGAGACACACACACACACACACACACACACATGCTCCAATCCACACCCAGTTACACACCCACACACACACACACAGTAATAAATGACCGGTCCCTAACATACCTTGTTTGTACGTAGAGCTAGGACGGGTCTGTTGAGAGGGAAACACACTGTGCCAGTTGACAGGACAGCAACAGCTGGCTTCACCACATTCAGGGTAGCACCATATGGGTACAGGAACGACAGAGCCCTGCAAGCACAACACAACAGGTTATAACTGCACACTTGTAACCCTCCGGTACAGGACAGTGACATGACACAGCAGACAGCAGTGTTCCACCTCTACAGTTGTTGCCATTAAATAATCTGGACAAGGGAAACAAGTCACTGAAGGGAAACAACCCATGTCATTGAGTTGGGTTTCATGTTGGGTTTAACAGTATTCCAGTTATATCACGGCATGTCAGCTTAATGTGGGAGGAAGGTCCAAAGTGATGCAGGTCTCAGACGTTTACCACTTCGGTGAAACCCACGAGTACGGGCATGGTGTCGACAAACCTAGAAATCGTGGCGCCTTAGACGACTGGGACACGTGTGCCCCCATGTCATTGAGAAACCATGAGACTCGAATGGTGAGGTGACACTGCCAGACCTCATATGGCAGTTCATATAACAAGCAATGGGATACTGGGGACCAATTCTACCCCGGAATCCCCACTGTGATTCTGTATGGGGAAAAATGTAAAATATAAGTACACTTTACACTCAAATACCATGATAACTACAAACCAACCATTATATTATTTTTTCCATCAAATTGTTGTTAATTGCAGGTTAATTAATAACCATTGTAATAATAGATATTTTTAACAGAAACTGTTTACATTTTAAATTTTCTAATATTTTTTTCAAAATGATTTTCAGTCAACCAACTTCAAAAACACATTGTACATGTAGTGTGTCTACTGTCTACTAACAGTTGTACAAGTTGTACAGTATCCACTGTCTACTTACCATGGTACAAGTTGTACAGTGTGTCTACTGTCAACTTACTGTGGTAGATGTTGTACAGTGTGTCTACTGTCTACTTATTGTGGTACAAGTTGTACAGTGTCTACTGTCTACTTACTGTGGTAGATGTTGTACAGTGTGTCTACTGTCTACTTACTGTGGTAGATGTTGTACAGTGTGTCTACTGTCTACTTACTGTGGTAGATGTTGTACAGTGTCTACTGTCTACTTACTGTGGTAGATGTTGTACAGTGTTTCCACTGTCCACTAACCATTGTACAAGTTCTACAGTGTGTCTACTATCTACTTACTGTGATAGATGTACTGTGTGTCTACTGTCTACTTACCATGGTACAAGTTCTACAGTGTGTCTACTGTCTACTAACTATGGTACAAGTTGTACAGTGTGTCTACTGTCTACTTACTGTGGTAGATGTACAGTGTGTCTACTGTCTACTTACTGTGGTACAAGTTGTACAGTGTGTCTACTGTCAACTTACTGTGGTACAAGTTGTACAGTGTGTCTACTGTCTACTTACTGTGGTAGATGTTGTACAGTGTGTCTACTGTCTACTTACTGTGGTAGATGTTGTACAGTGTCCACTGTTTACTTACTGTTGTAGATGTTATACCGTGTGTCTACTGTCTACTTACTGTGGTAGATGTTGTACAGTGTCCACTGTCCACTAACCATGGTACAAGTTCTACAGTGTGTCTACTGTCTACTTACTGTGGTAGATGTTGTACAGTGTCCACTGTCCACTAACCATGGTACAAGTTGTACAGTGTGTCTACTGTCTACTTACTGTGGTAGATGTTGTACAGTGTCCACTGTCCACTAACCATGGTACAAGTTGTACAGTGTGTCTACTGTCTACTTACTGTCATAGACGTTGTACAGTGTCTACTGTCTACTTACTGTGGTACAAGTTGTACAGTGTGTCTACTGTCTACTTACTGTGGTAGATGTTGTACAGTGTCCACTGTCCACTAACTATGGTACAAGTTGTACAGTGTCTACTGTCTACTTACAGTGGTGGATGTTGTACAATGTCTACTGTCTACTTACTGTGCATTATTAGCATCATCATCTCCTCCATAGGACAGAGACTTGCCCGCTGCCTGACTTATGGCTCTGGGGACACAATCAGTTACATGACGTCAACATACATCAAGGTTTTAACTCACATCAGCACCAATATTGCTATGTCTGGTGAATAACATTTGAACTGAAACAATCTTCGAGTTAAGCCAATCTGTTTTCCTTACTTGGATCAGAGATGTTTTCACAAGACAAGAAATAAATCAGACAGTATCATCCCTGTCTACTAAGTACAAAATTCTGTCCACTGTAGCAGACCCGAAATTGCCTGGAATATTTGCAGCATTACAAAACAAAGATAATAAAAGGGTCAAGAAGAATCTGTAAGTCAGCGTTAGAAATTGGCACTAGTCCTATAGTCCTTGCCAAACTGCCCAATAGTTAAGGTATCATAAGGACTAGTAGAAATTTGCCATTTTTAAGGGTTTTGCTATATGCTATGATTATAAGGACTAGTGGACTAAAACTATCCCTGCAAGTATGGTAAATATTTCTAAAAAAAGGTCTCTATTTGAAACATATAGAACTGACGAGGTCGTGCACCTGGTGATCTCAAAGACGTCAAATGCAGTACTTTTTAACTTTCATTTCAGAGGACCCAAAACCTGGAAAAGCTGGTTACATGATCGATCAGAAATTACTATATTCAATAAGATTGAATAATAACTGAAATATGTACCTGTTGAGAATTCCATTTGATATTAAGGCTTCTTTAGGATGAAAATATTTGTAATATGATGTTCTAACAACAGCATCTGTAGAAAAAAAATCAAACATGACAACATATTTGTAAAATAAGTGTGCAAACATAGTTTATTAGGTCATGTAGGTTACCATGGTTACAACAATTTATGCAATAGTTTTTCATCAGTATGAACTTAAGGAAAAGTTGTATGCACAGGGTTATCTCCCCTTATTCTTCTACAAATAATTATTTGGCAAATTACTTGCACACCATGTACGTTGTACACCTAAATTGATAGATATATATGTGTCCTGGCTAACTCTACATGAGTCAGTTGAGATAGACATGAATGAAGAGTGAGGTTCTCTTCAGAACTGATCTTCAAGACACTCACCACTGTTGACCATGATCCCAAATTCCTCGAGGAGAAAGTTGATGTTTGTGTCAAACCTCGTTTCTCCACCTTCTCCTAACATGACCAAAATACTTCCTCCACTGTCCAGATACTTCTTCATGGCTGCAATCTAGAACATAGACATATATTAGTCTTAGCAAAATTAGGTTGCACTCTGACCCCTCAATAGTCAGCACCACAATCTCATTAAAATCAGATCTTAGTTCTCACTTTTGGTAGAGAAAGATCTGAAGACAGGCCACATCATGACCTTTTGTGAACGTTGACCTTCCAATGAAGTGACAAACAGGAAACACATAGTTAACCAATCAAAAAGCAGCTTTCACAAGATTTACGGCACTAGTTTCAAAATGGTTACTTCTATTCCAGACTATGCTTAAAAAATATTCTGACAAAGAGTATATCTCGATTCAAAATTGGAAAAGAAAATTCTGGAATGTCTAATATATGGCTGAGATTTTATTCCCACCTCTATGCAAAGTCTTTCCTTTCAAATGTTTATCCCACTAGACATGTTGATGTTTATCATTCGGAACATTCGAACAGCCTGGAACTGTTGTTTGGAATACCCCCATGTTAACCCTTGAAGGTTTCATGATTAGAAAACACATTCCGTCTGTCACTTTCCCGATCTGGTAAGTGAGGCTCTGATTGGTCGGATAAAAGGCTGTTCTGGCATGTCCCATAATGGGATGACCTCAGATCTTTGTTCAGCAGTGGCAAGAACCAAGATCTGATTATAATGAGATTGGACCAAATGATTAATCCAAAAGACTCTGGGAACACTCACATGTGCATTTATACCAAGTGAGATGACTGATATTCATGATTTGGTAATTCAGAAATGTGTTAATCCAGATGATTTCAATGTGAATGCTGTGCATATTCCCTGAACAGGCTACACAACATTTCTTGTCAAATGCAACATTTATCTTATTGAGTGAATGAAAAAAGTGTATATTTTGGAATGACGTACGTATATTCCTTTTTCCAACAGTAGAGGTTTACAAAAATGGTTGATGAGCAATGATAAAATGGATTGGTATCTAAATTGTCCCAAACTAAGAGTTTGCTCACAGCTACAACTTAAAATCATGAATTCTTTGATGACATCACTTAATGTCTCTGATTTTTCAGGGCTTTGTTTTACGCCGCACTCAGCAATATGACAGCGATCTGAAAATAATCGAGTCTGGACCAGACAATCTAGTGATTGATATCATGAGCATCGATCTATGCAATTAGGATACGATGATATGCATCAACCAAGTCAGCGAGCCTGACCACCTGATCCCATTAGTTGCCTCTTACGGCAAGCATAGTCGCCTTTTACTGCAAGCATGGGTTGCTGAAAACCTATTCTAACTCAGGTTTTCACAGGTCTTAATGTCTCTGAACAATGTTTCTACAACATGGCAGTATCATATATCACAAGTCTGTCAAGTGAAGATATCAGTCTATCATCAGTCAGATGGAGGATTTATTTCACCGACAGATTGAGCTCGCTCACTAAAAGAAAATCATAAACCCCCTTCATTAAAGATATTTACCTACAACATTCAGACATTTACATGACTCGTACCTATTGGTGCCTGAAACCATTTATGATACATGATACATGAATCACCAGATCTTAGTCTTAGACAATTTTTACCAAAGGATGCTGGGGCCATGATGCTGTACAATCAGCAAAGGGTACATGGGGTACTGACATCACACGTAAGATATTGGCAATGTTATTATAGGGATGTTCGAAATGAAACATAAAAGTCAAAGGTCCCTTGTCATGACCTCAATGTTATGAAGATTTATGGGGTCAAATATTGTAGGTGAACAGATTAAGGGCCCAGAATCCCCTTCACTGTGAACACTGTATGGTGTTCTTCATTATTCATTATCATCATGATCACTGTCATCATTACTTAATAAAAGCTAGCTTCAAGAAAAGAAATGTCTGAGTCTTCTTTTCAGATGATATCAATAAAATTGCAACAATTACTAACATGACCAATAACACTAAAATATGTTTCACATAAGAATGGTTAAAATGTAGGAAAAAAACACCACAAAACTAAAAATGACGGAATCTTCAAATACCTCTGCAGCTGTAAACTTATCTCTTGGTCCGGCAATAAGAAATATCCTAACTTGAGCCAACTTGTCCTCGGTGATCTCATCTTTATTCCTGGAACAAGAAATAATCATAAATATCATGGGAAGGAAAGATTATTAGATGTGTCTTTTGAAAACAGATTTGTCGGTTGTTAAAACTTAAAACGCTGCACCATGCAATATTCCAGAGTACATGATGGCAATCTAAAGTAATTAAATTTGGTCCAGACAAACCAGTGACTGATATTGTAAGTAATGTCTCAATAAGTGGGGTAAGATCAACCCTATCCACTTAGTCACCTCTCACAACAAACATAGGTTGCTGGAGACCAAATCTAAATCACCACAGGAGAATTGTCTTAAGAAATCATCATGATGATTGTAAATCATGTTAACTTGTCATTATGGAAATAGTGAAATCTTTAACAGGGTTAAATAACATACAGCTAAACCATGTTAATCAGACATAGCTATTCAATGCAAATTGTTCTGCTTATGTCATAGCAAGATGAGTGAGTTAGTTCAGTGAGTTACATACGGAACCAATTTCCATGAAGACCGTAACTTTCTGTTGAGTGACTTCAGGCCATTATTGAGTGTGAACAGCTCTCGCTTTGATGCGTTGACAAGAATAACGTTCCTTTGACTTTTGTCCTCCATGCCCTGCAATCATAACATAACCATGGTGACAGGTCAATACATACTCTGCATGTCAAATGAACAGAAATATCACTTGACCCAAATCCACAACTCAAAGTCAGATTTGAGCAAAAATAGAGTCATATGATAGTTGCACAAAGACTTGCATGGTGCTGGAAAAACACTTACCTTCAGTTGTTGAAAACACATTTGTGGAAGCAATTTAGTTTCACCAGCATGGTGGGGATATTGCACTTTACCAGGAACACTTTTTTCAGATTCCGCTATTACAAATAGTGCTCAAATATAAACAATCATGAGCGTATGCATGCTCGTCACAACTTACCCTGGGATCAGAAAGGGGTGCCAAACCCATGTAACCATTAGGCCTTATTTTAGGATTGACATGGCCATTCACATGATTCATGGTAAATAGTAGACAGCATGAAACATGGCCTGTCTTACCCTAAGTATCGTAAACTAAGTTAAAGGGTACTTGATTGAAGAAGTGACAAGGGCTAAGATAATATGGTAAGACAAATTGAGGGGTAATTAATCCTAGCACAACCAACTCAAATGATCAATCTTCAAATAGATGCACAAGTTCAGAGAAGTGTAAGCAACAGCAGTAGTCATTTATATAGCTGTGACCAGTAAACTGCAGTCTTGTCAGCATGGATAGCATAAGAAAACATAACATAATTTCCGTGTATTATGCAGACTTGAGATATAATGTCCTATTGTAATTGCATTTGCAGCTTCACCTGTTCACGAACCCTCCCTCAGTCGATTATCAACGTTAGAATCTCGAAGTCTTGTATTCGTTGAAAGCATCCAAGTATTTTTTCGAGTGTACACATCATATGTTTTAGATTAGCTCACATGCATCCTAAGAGGTTGCTCATGGATCGAGAGTTGTTGTAATTCACATATATTCAATTACGACGTTTACTGTTCTTTACCATGAGTTGTTAGGCTGAACAACTGTCACCAAACATAAACAAGCACCGAACTTGTCAAATCATTGTGTCGGCTGAGAGAAAAGCATGATAGTCGCAAGGTTTAATTTAGGTGGATGCGGTAGGAAACATTAGATATGTCGGGCCTTTTGAAAATGTAAGACACACAATCAAACCATTTAATTCACAACAATGATCAGTACTCACTTCTGAAGTCGGTGCCATGTTAGCTTCTCTAGAAACTATGCAAGGACCGGAGTAAATAGTATTCTTGTCTGTGATTGGACTAAATTCATGTAAACTATCTTCACAACAACTTATCCATACGTGTGATAGATCGATATTGCAAAACATCTAGCGCAATGTGGATGCAATACACTGACAATTAATGGTTAATCAAATATAATTAACGGACCTACCTTCTAGAACATGTAGGACTTGTGTAATGGTGCGCATAAGAACAATGAAAAGCTTAGCACATCTGTCTTTCTGAACGCGTGCACAACTCTAATCTTTTGTAATGTTTCATGACACATTGATATGTTTGGTTGGTTGACGTGACAGCCTTTGTGTCATGAATGTTTAGGATGCAACTAACATTGACACAATATTTCAGTAACAATAACGAAAGTAACTGAACCATTGTTGTCTGCATGGTTGGCGAAAGCACAGAGGGTGTTTTAAACTGTTCACTAAACATTACTAAAATGTGATACCATATAAAAATGATTATTAATGTACCCAGAGGATGACGACAAAGTATGTTCAAATATACGGCAAAATACATATTTGGCTATTTTGATTTATTATTTGGGGCATATCTTAACTAGACTTGCATAAGTCTCTACTGCAATAATTATTATTATAAATCATAATTTCTAGATTATATTAAAAATAAGAACAAGTTGTCATTATAAGAGCCTGGAGTTGTGTTCTGTCCGCTTATCTAGACTTACTATTATCAGGATAGAATTACTATACACCCATGGACTTGTCATTCAGTACGACTTTGAAGCAAGGCCATATCTTAACCAGATGTTACTGTTTCTAGAGTTGTATATGAAAAGTGAAACTGCTAATCCAACAATTTCACGGAAAATACAACCGTTCAGATTAATGGTGTTCCACTGAACGAGGAAAGTTACAACTGATATTCTTTTTGAAAAATAGGGTGTTCAGATTTCAAGACGGAAAACCACATAAATGCGTGAACAGCTTTTACATTGTTTATCATTATTTATTTAATTATACAGTTTTTGATTGCAATAACCTTTCAAAATAGTCAATTTATTACCCTCGGTGAAAATCATAAAACGTGCAGATCTTCCCATCCTGGCATATATTCAATATACAAAAATGAAGGAGAAACAAGAACAGTATTGATTCCACAGTTTTTATTAAAGAATCTGTGAAAGAAATCTTAATTACAGGGATTTGTGGGTTTGATGAAAGGGGGATATATCTGGAACATGAAATGTTTCGATTGCCATTATATCTGAGAGCGTTGTGGAAACTCTATTGGCAATGTTTTATCGTACATATTTTTGGTGTCTACATAGCCTAGTAAACCTAATACATGACACCATTAACCTCTAAAGAGTACGTGACTGTTTTGTTAATTTTCCCGAAGTGACAATGTTGTGCTTCATTACTTTCTCCATGATTAGAATCACGCGTATGTAATAAGTTGTAGGGAAGTATTGTCAATCGACACAGTGAAGGGAATGACGCTTTTCGATTGGATGAAAGTTTATTGCCAATGTTTTGATGCAACACGTGGGTAGGCGGGGTCCCAATTCATTATCGAAGTCAATTAAAACTTTATCAACACGTAACGGTCGTTTAATATGTTCATTAACAAAGACAAGATTAGTCTATTCCCAGTCCCAAAGTATGTATATATTTGAGGAATCCCCACACGCTCTCGGAACTGAACACGGTCACATGACTTAATGGGTCATGTCAAGAGGTGTGTCTCTTCCCCTTTGGTTTCAGCACAACTGAAAGTAACCGTGATTTCTGACCTGAAGTGAACGAGGGCTAGGAGCTTGTGAGTATTTTACTGCTATCAACATTTGTGCAGTGGATTGCCAGGGCATTGTGGGTTTATTATGACTTCAAGATTTATTTTTGAAAGATGTATTTAGTACATCATTAATGGGTGCACTTTGGCGTCTGATAAAAATAGATACATTTCCTGTTGATTTCACAGCTATGCAACCGTCATTGTTTTAAGTTGTTGACTGTGGAGAGAGATTTAAGCTTAGAATACACTTAAAAATGTGCGATCGGTAAGAGACATTATTGAACTGACCTTTTGTTTCCTGATATTTCTGTTAGCGGTAGCCTGTTTTACAGTAGCCCATTGAAATAATACATGTACAGTTAAAAATAAGATCATAATGATCTTCATAAATATATCTGTTTTGAAAGTGTAAACATTACATTAACTTTTCTTTTTCATATTTCCTGTTTTGTATTTATGTGCAATTTCCTGTTATCTGTTCTCCGCTTACATGTTATCATTAAAGGAAGACATAGAGTTAGAATTATGACATTATTCATTCAAATATGTTAAATAATTTGGGTCTTGTTAAATTCAATAAGTTTATACAAATGTTTCCATTTCAGCATGTATGCACCCATGAACAGAAATATGACAGTATCATTTCCTTGTTTGCAGTATTTGTAATAAGGAAATGTTAGGCACAGCTGATTTTCCAATGTAGTTACAATAGAACATGATACATGCACTTTTCTATATAAATGAAAAAATCATGAACATCATTTAATTTCACTTCCAAATGACAATTCAGATTTCTTAGCTCACTTGAGCTGAAAGTTCAGGTGATTGCATGATAAGTTTGTATGTCCATTGTACAGTTTTACTGTCTTTAGACAACTCCTCTGAAGGCATCAAGCTTACAAATCTGTTAACTTTGAATGAATTACCTCAGCCATTGGGTCTCTGAAACATGACATCAGTATTTCCATCATGATGTTAAACATAGCAGCCTGAGTACATATCCCATTTGTGTCTTCAGCAGCCCGTGCTTGCCGTAAAAAGCAACTAACGGTATGCTTGTTGTAAGAGGCGACTAACATGATCGGGTGGTCAGGCTCCCTAACATGGTTGATGGATCTCATCGTATCCCAATTACGTGGATCGATGCTCATGATGTCAATCATTGGATTGTGTGGTCCAGACTCGTTTATTTACAGACCGACGTCATATAGCTGGAATGTTGGTGAGTGCTGCATAAAACAACAAACAAACAAACAAAATATGTATCATTTTGAAATTTGATGTAAGCATGTGTTACGATGTTTGACCTATCATTAAGAAAATTTTGATGATTGTGTCTTCTACTTCACAACTACTGTTACTAATTTAAATATACCGTATTCGACGTAATAAGCGCCCAGGGCGCTCTCAAAATCTCGTAAAATCAAAAGATCGTAAATTTCGCCTGAAATGTTTACATACGACAGATATATTTTTCAAGAATTTACATTGTCCATAATTAAGGGTGATATAACACAAGAGTGCGTATTATTCACGAATAAATAAGTCTTGTGTACATTGATCAATCGGAAGGGGTGCTGATTGGGATTGTTCACTCGCCAATATATTAGCAAATATCGCCGTGGGCGCTTATTAGAGCGGGGCGCTTATTACGTCGAATACGGTAAGCCTCTTATGATCTAAGTTTACAAATATTAACATAATCAGAGACTTGGGGCTCTGTCATCTCCAATCAATTGAGGGGTGGTGGGATGGCCTAGTGGTTAAAGCGTTCGCTCGGGTTCGATTCCCCACATGAGTACATTTTCTGGTGTCCCCTGCCGTGATGTTTCTTGAATGTTACACTAGCGATGTAAAAACATACTCACTCACTCCAATCAAATGAATCAGTTTATGTAGAATCTAGGGCTAGGACAGGTAACTCGGGTACTTGGGTTGGGTGGGTACTGAGTAGGACCCAGGTACCCACATGACTACCCAGACCCGTGGTTTGTCACATTATATATTGTTTAATGACAAGAAAATATCTAGAACTCTAGGGTTACACTACAAGTTGCTAATGTTCACATTTCTTTCTGACTATGCACGTATTCCTTCTTACTTTTACAGGTTTGAAAAAAGATAAAACTTTAATCAACTTCCGTGTATGCATGACCAGATCGTTTTATACATGTATCTAAATACATTTTGCCAGGGCTATGGTCAAACTATTCCCAATCGGACATTTTGTACCCAAATCTTGAGACCTGTAGCGGGTACCCGGGTAGGGTTGGGTAATAGCGGGGTGGGTACCCGGGGAGTAAATCCCAGCCCTAGTAGAATCACATGCTATGATTTCATATTTACTTCCTAGTTTCTAGTACTTGAGTCTGACACATCCTGTTTATGCCATGACCTTCCCCGATTTCCTTTCATTTTCTTGAAAATGTTGGGTTATGTATTAACAGTAACTATACGGGAAGTATTGTCGAAATTCTTGAAATAGTTTTCAATTTTCCTGGTATTAGGAACGTTTTGTAATTAGGGCTGGGACGAGTCCAAATTTACTACCCGGGTACCCACCACTCTATTACCCGACCCTACCCGGTTACCCGCTGTAGATATTTAGAGATAGGTAAAAAACTGTCGGATTTGGAAAAGTTTGACCATAGCCCTGGCAAAATGTATTTAGATACACGTGTAAAAGGATCCGGTCATGCATACACTGAAGTTTACTGCATGAAGTTTTATCTTTATTCAAACATATACAAGTCAGAAGGGATGGGTGCATTGTCAGAAAGAGATGCAAACGTGAGTGACTGGTATTGTAACCATAGAGTTTTAGATAATTTTTTTCATCAAACAATATCACATGACTAAGCACGGGTCCGGGTAGTCCTGTAGGTACCTGGGTCCTAGTCAGGACCCACCCGAAACGAGTACCCAAGTTATCTGTCCCAGCCCAAATTTCCATGTCCCAGTCGTAAAAGAATGCTTATTTCAAATATGGAGTTTTTATTGAAAGAATTATGCCTCCCATACTCGTTATACTGTAAAGCGTGAAATTAATGCTCCTCCATTATAATGCAGGTACTAACCCCTAGCCCAAAATGTGTCGTGAATTAATGCGAGTTTCCCTACCTCTGGAATTTACACACTAATCAGCATGCAACAACACAAGACTTCCATTACCGTATTCGACGTAATAAGCGCCCACGGCAATTTTTCCTAATATATTGGCTAGTGAACAATCCCAATTAACATCCATTCCAATTGATCATTGTACACAAGACTTATTTATTTGTGTATGATACGCACTCGTGTGTTATGTGCACCCTTAATTATGGGCAATTAAATTCTGGAAAATATATCTGTCGTGTATAATACGCACAGACTTTTCCTCTGTATAATTTCAGGCTGTCAGCATAAAACACGAAATATGCAATCTTTTCAACTCTCTTTCCTTTTCTCACCAAACTTATCTTCTAATAAGAGCCCCCTATTTCTAATTTTGAGAGTGCCCTGGGCATTTATTACATCAAATATGGTATAGCGTTGTAACAGTTTGATATACCTTACCTTTACCACAGACGTAACTCCTCCCTCTATCATGTAACCTAACTTCCAGTACATCAAGAGCAGGACATTCCACGTGAGAATCATTTCAGGTCAACCAGCAAAGACTGTAAAAGTATTGTTACACAAGTTAGTAACATATGGGGTGTCTCCATGGGCAAGTGTCTTTGTTCGAAATATACCTCTCTTCACCCAGCAGTGAATGGGTACCTGGTAGGATGAGATGGCAATGTGGATGTTAACTTTCTAGTACCTCACAGGCAGCTTGGGTTGTATACTCTCCAGGCAGCTGAGGTAGAAATTGGAGTGTATGCTGATCCATTGACTGGGTTGATAATGTACTTTGAGCATGATAGTCAGCATGGAAAAAGCACCATACAAATGTAGTAGTAGTAGTAGTAGTAGTACAGTAGTAGTATGGTAGTCGTCAGTATGAATGCTGTTACTGTACTGGAGACTTTCACCACATGAGTTAGCAGTATTTTGCTTCTAATCATAAGATTATTTGATAAGCTTCCAAAGAACAAAGAAGCCTTCATGTATGGTTGGCGATAGGGCTGTTGACAACCCAGTTACCCACCCCCCTATTACCCGACCCTACCCGGGTACCCGCTGTAGGTCGCAAGAGATAGGTACAACATGTCCGATTGGGAATAGTTTGACCCTAGCCCTGGATAAAATGTATTTAGATACTCGTATAAGACGATCTGGTCATGCATACACTGAAGTTGACTGAAGTTTTATCTTTATTCAAACACATAAAAGTCAGAAGGAATGTGTGCATAGTCAGATTTGTTTGTTTGTTGTTAAATGCCGCACTCAGCAATATTCAAGCTATATGACAGTGGTCTGTAAATAATCATCTCTGGACCAGACAATACAGTGATTGAAATCATGAGTATCAATCCACACAATTGGGATGACATGCATCAACCAAGTCAGCTAACCTGACCACCCGATCTCATTAGTCAGCTCTTAAGAGAAGCATAGTCGCCTTTTACGGCAAGCATGGGTTGCTGAAGACCTCTTCTACCCCAGATCTTCACTGGTAGCATAGTCAGAAAGAAATGCGAACGTAACGTGTTATATACGTTATATATCACATGACTAACTACAGGTCCGGGTAGTCCTGTGGGTACCCGGGTCCTTCTCAGTACCCAAGGACCAGTGTTACCCGTCCCAGCCCTAGTTGGTGACCTGCTTGATCAATTTGCAACTTGTGACAACACGCTGACCACACTTGACTGGAGTTAACTACATTTGTTTTATTGCAACCTTGTATATCATTGTTTCCGGCGTGTGGACTGAAGCAGACAATGAACTCCAATCTGTGCAGATAATAATACGTCACTTTATCAATACAAGCAAGGAGGACTCACACTATGTTCACACTATTTCCGTGCATGCATCAGTTTCAGGATTTACAGTTTATCAAGCAAAATATTAATAATGGCCATTTTACACAAAATTGACTGGCAGTAGTGCTGCAACGTGTTTTTATGCTATGACGCCACTACATTTATGACATGTAGGTGAGGTGAAATGGGGTTATGTCGCGTCCAAGATTATTGCACTTATATAGCCATGTGCATGCACATGTGTGTGTGCGGGGGGCTGCTTGTACTAGTCCGGACTGATGCCGATTTATAGTGCTATCACACTGAGATACCATGCCGAAGTTTAACGTGAACACCCCACTCAGACTCAGTATACTGACTCTGAGCTGACCAGTCCTTGTTTTAGCCCCTTAATGCCGAGCGCCTGACAGGGTTACGACAAGTACCATCTTTTAACGTCTTTTGGTATGATACGATCGGGGATTGAACCCTGGACCTTCCACTCTCTGGGGCAACACTCTACCACTAGACCACAGAGGTGGTCTTGTGACATGTATGTTTGTGTGAAATCATAGCACTGTTATAATGATGCCATCAGTGGAATGTCGCTACACTTTAGACATTGTGGAAAATGGAAAATGCGAACATATTTATCCATTTACTCAATAACTTGAACACTAACCTGAAGAAATTATTTTATTTTTCTATGATTACCGATATGTGGTTAAATTATTTTTCACAGCACTGTAAGATACCATCAGTAGAATGTCGCTGCACATTTGACATAGAGGAAAAAACACAAAGGCAAACATATTTATCCATTTACACAACAACTTGAACACTAACCAATAGAAAGTATTTCATTTTCCTATTATGATCTATATCTGGTTAAAACATTTTTCACAGCACTGTAAGATACTATCAGTGGAATGTCTCTGCACTTTAGACATTGTGGAAAATACGCAAATGCCAACATATTTTCTCCATTTACTCAATAAATAAAACACTGACATCCAGAAATTATTATATCTTCATATGAATATTGATGATCCATATGTGGTTAAAATATTTTTTGAAATTAGATCTCCTTTCTCACACTTTTATGCAAAACTGTTAACAGTGAATGATTTCCCTGTATGTTGCAATAGTAAAGTATGAATATGGCACAGTATATAACAGGCACATCTAGTGCAATAGAATGCCCACTAACACCCTTCTTTCTTTGATAGATTTAAAAAATATGGCTATCTTGTACTCTTAATACAGATCAGTGGACAACTCTAGGGTGGTGCAATATGTCAGATCCAGAGGGCAGGATCAGGAACTTTTTTTCAGGCACCTTCTGAAGGTTTCTCCATGTCGCCTCACATTGGGGGCTATCTCCGCATAGATCTATAATCACGAAGACACACGTTTATTCTTAGTCATGGATGCAGTACATGTGGTCAGTGATGATGTCGTTCACTACGTCATAGCGCAAGCTAGCTGATACTTCTTACTAACACTACTCACAATGGCAATACACTACACCTTCCAGTGATTGAGATCATGAGCATTCATCTTTGCAATTGCGACATGCATCAACCAAGTAAGCGAGCCTGACCATCCGATCCCGTTAGTCGCCTCTTACGACAAGCGTAGTCGCCTCTTATGGCAAGCATGGGTTGCTGAAGACTCCTTCAGCATCCTGGGTCCACCTCCTTCGTCTACACTACTAAGAACAAGTGCCTCCTTTATTTATTTTCAATAAGTTTTCAATCTGTCATTGTTTATTTTGGGTGTGGCATGATTTTCATCGGGCATTTTATGAACTTTTCACTTCAAGCAACATGCGCATCTTAGTGTATCTATCCTTGTCAACCTAACAATTTATCAATGAAGATCTGGTCTTCAGCAACCCATGCTTGTCATAAGTCGCAACGAATGGGGATGGGTGGTAAGACTCGGTAACTTGGTTGATGCATGTCATCGTATCCCAATTATGCAGATAGATGCTCCTGATGTCAGTCACTGGATAGTCTTGTCCAGGCACGATTATTGACAGACCCCCGTCATATAGCTGGAATATTGCTGAGTGAGGAATTAAACAACAAATACTCACTAAATAATAAGTGAGTGAGAGTAGTTGTTGTGAAAATAGAAATAATCAATGTACTGGCAACTGGATGACATTAACACCTAGAAGATTTTCTTATAAAGCTTGTTTTGCAAAATTATTGTGGTCACATAAATTAACATGCTCAATAATATTGTGTCTTCTTAATGCTTTCTTATCATTTGTTCTCTGTCAATATGGTACAGACAGTTAATGTCCACTTATCATGATGAATATATTTACATTGTCATTGAAATGCTTCCTTCTCTTTGAGTATTTCCTGCCAAAATAACACTTCTGAATGCTTTCTTATCATTTGTTCTCTATCAATATGGTACAGACAGTTATCATGATAAATATATTTACATTGTCATTGAAATGCTTCCTGCTCTTTGAGTATTTCCTGCCAAAATAACTGAAACAATGGGAGAAAACATTTGCAGGCAGGAAGAAGAAGTCTTCTTGTGTGTCAGATTTATCAGTCCCACAATCCTGTTTTTTGTTTCATATTTTAACTTTGTGACTTGGGTAGCGTGCACACAAACAGAAAGATGCTGACAGGACACCTTTGATAATTGAATTCAAGCTAAAGTGAAATTGGTGTACAATATATCTTAAAGACTGAACAAATCACAATTGCACAGGAAGGGATATTTTTTCTTAAGATCCTGAGCAGTCAGGTAGCCTAGTGGTTAAAGCGTTCGCTCATCACGCCGAAGACCCGGGCTCGATTCCCGACATGGGTACAATGTGTGAAGCCCATTTCTGGTGTCCCCCTGCCGGGATATTGCTGGAATATTGCTAAAAGCGGCGTAAAACCATACTCAATCACAATCTTAAGATCCTGTTTTCATACCTGATTTTAGAGAGATTTTTTTCAATACTCTCAAGTCATTTTAACAGCCTAACATAAGTGAACACAGTAACCCTCTTTCATCTTTGATCTGTGGTCAAGTGGAGAGAGTGTCTGCCCGGAGAACAGAAGTCTGTGGTTCGATCCCCGCCGCAAGTTATACCAAAAGATGTTAAAAGATGGTAGTACACTTTACTTGTTGTAACCCTGCCTGGCGCTTGGCATTAATGGGCTAAAACAAGGATTGTCGGCTTGTGGTCAGGGTACTGTGTCTGATTGGGGTATCCATGTAAAACTGCTGCATGGTATCTCAGAGGGCTAACATTAGTCCAGACATGTACAAGCAGACACTCACACAAGTACATGCATGCAAGTCGTTATATAGTGCCATAATCCTGAACGTGACATTAAACCCCACATCATCACACTTCATTCATCTTTGATCTTGACATAGCAGTATTAAGTGCACGCACAATCTTCCAAGCTCCACACAGGGACATCTCACAATGGCCCCTATGTGGAGCAGAGTGGGCGGTATTTGTAACGCTACACTCTGATCTCATGTTGATTGGATGTTAGCCGAATGCAGTGTGACAGATATATCATACATAAAGAGTGATCCACTTTCTACACATTTATATAAGCTGACATTATCTTTAGCTGACACTTGTAGTGGGAATGACCTTTTGTTTTTAATACAGTGCTTGGTAAAGATTATCATATTTTGAAATAGTTTTGATTAGAACATTCCGGAAATTCTTATCTTATCTACCCCAACAAAAATAACTACCATGTGTTCCAAAATTTAAAATGCATATGCTATTTGTCTAATTTGCAAACTAAAATATTGACCTGCAGACATATGAGCAGATTTTGAACACTAGAACTATTCACTGGGTGGAGTCAAGTCGACAATGTTTTCAGAAAGCGACAATATGCTATCCAAGGCTGCTTACACTCCTACCTACTACATCATTAAACCATCTCCAAACACCTTCTTCAGGGGCGGTCGGGTAGCCTAGTGGTTTAAGGGTTCGCTTGTCACGCCGAAGACCCGGGTTCAATTCCCGACATGGGTACAATGTGTGAAGCCCATTTCTGGTGTCCCCCGCCGTGATATTGCTGGAATATTGCTAAAAGCGGCGTAAAACCATACTCACTCACACCCAAACACCTTCTCATTTAATTTTATAGCTCAGTTTAAACCAACACTTACCAAATATATTCCTATTTGTCAGTAAGCATATGTAATGGGCTTTTCATCCATTTCAGATGACCGATCACCATGAGTGATTTCCCAGATGACCGGCGCGGCATCCAACACCCAAGAGCATCTATCTCAGACACACAGACGTGGGAAAAAGAGAAAAAATATGTGGTCAGTTTCTCCATGTTGCCATGGCCCTGATGGTGCTGTGCATGACGTTGTCCCATCACGATGGTTCCTACGCCATGTTGCCAAGGCCCTGATAGTGCTGTGCATGACGTTGTCCAATCACGATGGTTCCTACACCATGTTGCCATGGCCCTGATAGTGCTGTGCATGACGTCCCATCACGATGGTACCTACGCCATGTTGCCATGGCCCTGATAGTGCTGTGCATGAGGTTGTCCCATCACGATGGTTCCTACGCCATGTTGCCATGGCCCTGATAGTGCTGTGCATGACGTTGTCCCATCACGATGGTTCCTACACCATGTTGCCATGGCCCTGATAGTGCTGTGCATGACGTCCCATCACGATGGTACCTACGCCATGTTGCCATGGCCCTGATAGTGCTGTGCATGACGTTGTCCCATCACGATGGTTCCTACACCATGTTGCCATGGCCCTGATAGTGCTGTGCATGACGTTGTCCCATCACGATGGTTCCTACGCCATGTTGCCATGGCCCTGATAGTGCTGTGTATGACGTGGTCCCATCACGATGGTTCCTACACCATGTTGCCATGGCCCTGATAGTGCTGTGTATGACGTGGTCCCATCACGATGGTTCCTACACCATGTTGCCATGGCCCTGATAGTGCTGTGCATGACGTGGTCCCATCACGATGGTTCCTACACCATGTTGCCATGGCCCTGATAGTGCTGTGTATGACGTGGTCCCATCACGATGGTTCCTACACCATGTTGCCATGGCCCTGATAGTGCTGTGTATGACGTGGTCCCATCACGATGGTTCCTACACCATGTTGCCATGGCCCTGATAGTGCTGTGTATGACGTTGTCCCATCACGATGGTTCCTACACCATGTTGCCATGGCCCTGATAGTGCTGTGCATGACGTTGTCCCATCAAGATGGTTCCTACACCATGTTGCCATGGCCCTGATAGTGCTGTGCATGACGTTGTCCCATCACGATGGTTCCTACACCATGTTGCCATGGCCCTGATAGTGCTGTGCATGACGTTGTCCCATAACGATGGTTCCTACACCATGTGGGGGCACAGGTGGCCCAGTCGTCTAAGGCCCCGCGATTCACTGTGCAGAGTTGCGTCCCCTGGACACGCCAGAAACCTATGATTGTGGGTTCGAATCCCGGTTACCCCGATTACGTTTCTAGGTTTGTCAGCACCATACCCATGCTTATGGGTTTCACCGAAGTGGTAAACGTCTGAGACCTGCATCATTTCGGGCTTTCCTCCCACATTAAGCTGACATGCCGTGATATAACTGGAATAATGTTAAAAGCGGCGTTAAACCCAACTCACTCACTCCTACACCATGTCGTGAACCTGGTTTAACATGTCACACTGAGCAACATTAAAATGTATTTGCGTGCTTCACTTCAAATTTGTTGATATGTGTTGTCTGATGTAATGTGCCCGCAACATGGTTAAAGCAATAATGTAAAACAGAGTGTTAAAAAATCTTCCTCTGTTTTGGGCCTGTTATCATTGAAAGGCCAGTCAGTTCTTCAGAGCCACAACATTACACCTTAATTCTTTGATTTTATGAATGTTTCAAGCAGATATTCTGTTGAGAAATCGTAAGGGAGATAACTATTGTTATCCTGAGGTTGCTGTCCAGCACAGGAATGTGACACTGTTTTCTAATGGATAACTGAGATGAATAATTGAGTATATAAGAGTTGAAGCAGATTGAAAAATGTACACAGAAATAATTATGTAATAAATAATTAAATGAATAAATAAATAGTTAACTTTAAGGATAGATAGACAGACAGACAGACAGACAGACAGACAGACAGACAGACAGACATATAGATAGATTACAAACAAACAAATAAGAGTTTCTCCCAAGTAAAATTAATAATTCCTTTGAATATATGTGTAGGGTTTACCTATTAACAGGACATATTTGATGTATTTCATATTGTCAACATCTGGCATGCAACATTTCTGGGCAGGATCTAGAATCATCTGGTCTCAGTATATACTACTGAACATCATGAATGTGTGTGATTGGCTACCTGACGATGATGTCATGCAAATAGTATCCCATATTGCCTAGTAACTGGAAGATGGTGTCGTACAAATAGTATCCCATATTGTCTAGTAACTGGAAGATGGTGTCATACAAATAGTTTCCCATATTGCCTAGTTACTGGAAGATGGTGTCATACAAATAGTATCCCATATTGCCTAGTTACTGGAAGATGGTGTCATACAAATAGTATCCCATATTGCCTAGTAACTGGAAGATGGTGTCATACAAATAGTATCCCATATTGCCTAGTAACTGGAAGATGGTGTCATACAAATAGTTTCCCATATTGCCTAGTAACTGGAAGATGGTGTCGTACAAATAGTATCCCATATTGTCTAGTAACTGGAAGATGGTGTCATACAAATAGTTTCCCATATTGCCTAGTTACTGGAAGATGGTGTCATACAAATAGTATCCCATATTGCCTAGTTACTGGAAGATGGTGTCATACAAATAGTATCCCATATTGCCTAGTAACTGGAAGATGGTGTCATACAAATAGTATCCCATATTGCCTAGTAACTGGAAGATGGTGTCATACAAATAGTTTCCCATATTGCCTAGTAACTGGAAGATGGTGTCGTACAAATAGTATCCCATATTGTCTAGTAACTGGAAGATGGTGTCGTACAAATAGTATCCCATATTGCCTAGTAACTGGAAGATGGTGTCATACAAATACTATCCCATATTGCCTAGTAACTGGAAGATGGTGTCATACAAATAGTATCCCATATTGCCTAGAAACTGGAAGATGGTGTCATACAAATAGTTCCCCATATTGCCTAGTTACTGGAAGATGGTGTCATACAAATAGTATCCCATATTGCCTAGAAACTGGAAGATGGGGTCATACAAATAGTTCCCCATATTTCCTAGTTACTGGAAGATGGTGTCATACAAATAGTATCCCATATTGCTATGCCACTAATGCATGTTCAGCTTCATTTACAGTTAATAAAAGTAAGTACACAGTTAAAGTACACCAGTTGCCGTTACCTAGTTATGTAACAGTATGAAATAGCCCAATGATGAGTAGCATAGTACTATTCTATTGAGAAACAGTAAGGGAGATAACTATTGTTTCTCTGCAGTCTTGTTTTGTTACCCCAAGGTTGCTGTCCAGCACAGGAATGTGACAATGTTTTCATCAATGTGTTTACGTAGTATGTTTTACATGTCACACTGAACAACAATATAATGTATTTGCATAGTTCACTTCAAATTTGTTGATATGTGTTGTCTGACGTAAACAGTGTTTTCACTTGTAGGAAAGAACTCATTGCATACATCCACCTCTACACATATCTAGGATTCCAAACTGAATGACAAGCAAATTGGAATTTTTCTTATTATTTTGTTAAGAATTGAAAGAAAATATTTAAGCATTTTAACAGTATATTTTAAATTACTTTGCTTGCAACATGGTTAAAGCAATAATGTAAAACAGAGCGTTAAAACCTCTTCCTCTGTATTGGGCCTGTTATCAATGATAGGCCAGTCAGTTCTTCAGAGCCACAACATTCACCTTAATTCTTTGATTTTATGAATGTTTCAAGCAGATATTCTGTTTAGAAACAGGAAGGGAAATAACTATTGTTATCCTGAGGTTGCTTTCCAGCGCAGGAATGTAACACTATTTTCCTCTCTGTGTTTACATAGTATTTCTTCTGGCAACCAACTTTTTTTACGTTTTTAAAGAATAATCAATACTTCTTTTGCTGCTGCAAAAAATCTGATAGGTAATTAAAGCTTCAACTTGCAGCATATATATGAAATGCAAATTATTACTGTATAGTTTTTCATATGATACTGTTATGTTATAACGGTAGCGATGGGTTAGCTGAGGTGTTTAGGGATTTATCTAGACCTGCTCAGAGGCTAATATTTGGCCATAAGTCTGCAGCAAATTAAATCAAAAATTCCCAATTTGAATTTAAAATTTTCCATTTCCTCAGAATTTACAAAAATAAGGACATTAAGAATTTGAGATTTTGAACAATGCCCCAATATTCTTGCCAAGGATTTTTAGTTTGGATTCCTAGATGATTTTGTTTGTTTGTTGTTAAACACCACACTCAGCAATATTCCAGCTCCATGTTGGCGGCCTGTAAAAATTGAGTCTGGACCAGACAATCTATCCAGTGATTAACATCATGAGTATCGATCCACACAAATGGGATACAACAACATGCATCAACCAAGTCAGCGAACCTGACCAACCGATCCCGTTAGTCGCCTCTTACGACAAGCATGAGTCCTTGGGGTTAAAGCATTCGCCACAAATGCCAATTGGGGATTCCAGTTAGGAATTGCTCCACAGCAACTGGTGCTGGTTATAAGAGGCAACTTGATGGAACGGGTGGTCAAGTTGGGTGACTTGGTTGATTGAGTGTCATTGTACCCTGACAGCATGGATCGTTGCTCGTAACATCAATCACTAGAAGGATCAAAGAAAGAAGTGTTAAAACAACAATCAACAATGTCATGAGTATAACAAGTGAAGCCCATTTCTGGGGCCTCCACCGCGATTATAATTGCTGGAATATTGCTAAAAGTGGCCTCAACCAAACTAACTCACTGACACATACCCATGTGTAATTAGGATGATTGTTGACTGGCCTGTTGATATGCATCATTATATTTGAGTTAGCAGACATACTGGATGACTCAAAATCACATTTGCAAGGACTGCCAACAGGCCTCAGTATAAGTTAATCAGTGCTAGCCATTGAGCTGTGATCCAGGGATTGTTGGTGTAACAATTTCCTGTCAAGTTAAACGATCCGATTTTGTAAGCAGTTGAAAAGTTTAAAAGATAAGAAACTCAATACCTTATGTTTGAGAACACCTATGGCAATACTTTCATTTGGGCGCTTTTATTGATTATTCAATATCAGGATTATCCAGTATATCATGGGTCCAT